CTCCTGCCTCCTCAGCAGCGCTAAGGATGTCTGACTGCAGCTTAGGCCTGCTTCCCGCTGGCAAGTGGATATCCCCGGAGGGCTCCCGGGCTGCCAGAGGGATGTCTGACTGCCAGCTTAGGCCCAATCTCCTGGGGAGTGGGCCTAAGCCAGCAGGTGGTCATCCCCCGAGGGGTCCCAGACTGCGAGAGGGCACAGGCCGGGCTTAGGGACCCCCCTGAGTGCACAAATTTTTGTGCACTGGGCCTCTTGTAGTATAATATTAAATATATTTGTAGCACTTATAAAGAGCTAAATGGTTTGTAACAATTTTGTGATTTTTCTTTTCCTTAATCTTCAATTATTAAATATATTTTTAGCACTTATAAAGAGCTAAATGGTTTATAACAATTTTGTGATTTTTCTTTTCCTTAATCTTCAATACTACTTCGGTCATTCAGTCCAGTGCTATGGTCACCATACAAATTTAGTTTATAATAGCTTGAACACTAATTCAGATTTCAAAATTAATCAGTTTCAAATGTTGACCTTCTCAGTCACTAATCCTATATTAGTGATTGAATTATTTCACCAATTTACTTCACTATATTAAGACAGGTGGTATTTGTTTATCAAATCTTAGATTTTCCTTTATTCATATGTTAAAATGTCTATAAATTTTATTTGGATAAAATTGGTACAGAAGGATCTCAGAATTCTTAAATACTTATTGGCAGAATTTAGGTCCTTGAAGAGAGAAATTGTGAAGGATTTTATTCTGGTTAACTGCTATGTTTAATAAGAATTACTTTGAAGTTATCCACACATTTGTATTCACTGTGTCATATATAAGCCAGCAGGTGGCAAACTTGAGATTTTTTGTACTATTGCTCTTGTTGAAGATGTATTAAACAATGTGTCAATGAATCTCAAGAATAGCTCTTTCAGTGTACCATAGCATAAGAAAACTTAAAACCTCTAATTGTAGAGCCACTGGTATTTGGATAGCAATGTACTTATTTAGTTTTTTCTTGAGTTACTATTTTATCCTATAATTCTTTCTCTAACAGATAGTTTTGAGACATGTATGATGCCAGTTTGAACCTATTTTTGCTGTGATTTCCATCATTAAGAACTAAATTTAGCTGCTTTTGCATTTACTATGGGAGGGGGAATCTTTACATCGTTTAAGAGACCATGCAACATATACTTTGTCTCCCAGAGCAGACAATGTCATATTGTTTTGAAAGTTTTAACAACATTGATCCTCATGTTTTTAAACACAAAACAGTAATTTCTTCTGTGGGTGATAGTTTTTTATTATATCCCTATGAATATTTCCATTTTAGTGTCACTTATTGGTAGTAAGTAATACATGAAGATGAATTTAATTTCTTTCATGTACATTCGATTTTCAAAAGGTTTACATTTTGTACCAATAATAAAGGATCAATCAAGATTGATTATATTGAAGCATATGACTAGACTTTGGGGTATTTAAGTAAATATATTCCCTCTATCACATTCAGAGGCAAAAATTTAACCATAATACATGATTTGCTCATTTCTTTCTCTCTGTGAAATTCATCTATTGTTAACACTACCTCTATGTTCTCTACAAAATTCATTTCCCTTTATATGTTATATTTCTTTCTGTATGTCTGTGTTCTATTTTAATAATAAGTATAGCTTGTTATTCTCTTCCTAATGGGGAAGACAAAAAAAGAAGAAGAACAGCAATGACTTAAGACAAAGCAAAGTTAGGTAGTGAGATGCTTCATGATTTCCACATCTAAATTGGATCATTTAGATGACTTCTACAAGATTTAAATAAAATAATATATGCTTCATTAAAGTCACAAACCACTTGAAGGATTCTAACAATTGACTGCTTGGTGAATTTAGTTGTTAATAAGTAAAAAGTAAATCCACTAATTAGTCAACATCAATGAATTAGTTGTTCTCCAAATATCATAATAACGGAAGACACTTTAAGGCCTAGTAACATAATTCTTCCATCCTTTCTATTTTATTTGTAAGGGAAGAAAACTCAGTTTTTTAAATGTGGAATATAAACATCACATAAGAAAAGTAAATTATAGTGTAAAATTGAATTAAAATATGAAAGAAGGCCCGATGCATTCAAATTGAAGAGAACAGAAGCTGCTGCTTCTGCTGTAGATGGTATGTAACTCAGCTTTAGTGTTCTCATCACTGGGGCTTTTAAAAAAGAAGCTCTTAAAGAGAAAGGTGCCCGCACTGCACTGGTCTGCATGTATTCAGAGGTTAAGTTACCCTGGTCTTGCTAATGTGTCTAAATCAATCCTCCTTTCTACTATGTTCCTTCAATCCATTTCCCACTGGGGCACCCACTTTTTGAGAAAGATGATCCACACCCCAAAACACCTTCTCGTTCCTCCATTGTCCTAGGTCTCCTTGATGAAATACCATGTGATTTTCATGGGGGTAAAATCAGAGACATGAAAACAGGTTCCTGACCCAGCGATTTGCAGGCTTCTAGAGTCCCCGATGCATCAGACTACATCACAAAAATACCCAAGTGCAGGTCAGCCCCTGCCCATATGCTTCTCAGAGGGCAGACAGTCAAACAGTTGTCTGTCATTTAGCCAGATATCTGTTTTTGGCAGCATCCTTTCCAATATAGTTAGTACTTGAATGTACACATCTCTCAAATTCCAATGAGCACACAGGGTGCCCGCCGTGCTCCATCAGGAAACGCATCCTAGAAGCGGTAGCAGTGCTCCTAGGGGACAGGGGCAGCAAGGGTCTGCGGGCCACATCCCCACCGAAGTGTGGCCGGGCCAATTGCATGTCCCTCACCCCCAGACAAGAAAGGTGACAGGGAGTGGATGCTCCTTGAGTCTAGCTCTTCCAGAGAGAGGAGCTCCATGGTGAGGGTCCTTGAGTCCTACTGAATTTAGGGGTCTGGCCTTTCTCCATCCCCTGTGCTCTCTCTTTGTCCACTGCACCCCCACCCTACCCTCCGTCAGCGTAGGCGCAGAAGGGTTTTACACTGAAGGAGCCCCATTGACGTATGCATCCCCTCCCATTCCATCTGGATTGAAGCCCAGAAGGGAGCGAGTGGGGGAGATGCGGAGGTGGGGATCCCTCCTGTCGCTGAGTTTAGGGTCCCAGAACGAGACCAACTCAGGGCCAGCCAAGAGTATTGGTTCTAGACCCACAAACAGACCAAGCATTTCCCTCCTGCATCAACCCCTTCACTCCCAATGAGGTCACTGCGATGAGAGAGAAGCAGATCCAGAGCGAGGGGGAAGGAGAGGACGAGGAGGAGGGAGAAGCAGCCCGGACTGGGAAAGGCCATCAGACAAGGTCGCCTTTTCTGGCCGCACAGCCACTGCGAGGCACGTGGTGCTGAATCTCCTTTCCTCCGCCTGCTCAGCCTGGGGAACCGGGGACTGGCAGGAGCACTTGGTGTTACCGCGAAAACAAAGGCGAGGAGAGGGGCGGGCGGGCAAGGGAGAGAGAGAGGCTCCGCGCAGTTTGGCTCCGCATCTCCGGGAAGCAAAGCTCATCTCCTTGGCAAGGAAGGGAAGGGGAGCCCGGCGTCTGGAGGCGAAGGAGGGAGCGGGCTTCCCTGCGGAGACCGGGACGCGGCAGAACTCTGGACAGCGCCTCGCCAGCGGCACTGGGAGCTCCCGGCTGCTCCTTTTTGGAAACCCTGGGACCTGTTTCCTCTTCCCTCCTGGACTCCGACCACGGATCCTTCCTTCTGCGATCCCTGTTCGAACGGGCCCGGGAGTGGAGCCGCGGTCTTGCCTCTGGCCCGGTCAAGGAAGCGGGTCTCCGGTCCTGGAAATCCAGTCCTCGTGGATAGTGCTCCGCCGGTGAAGAAGGAAAAGTTTTGGGGTCTGGTAGGGGGAGGAAGGGGGAGGGAGTAGTGGAAGAAAGAAGGTGGATGGTCGGTTTCCCACGCTGAGCTGGAAGGAATGATGACCGAGGAAGGATGTGCACCAGCGGCCAGATTATTGGGAGCCTCTTGGTGCTCTCCGTGCTGGAGATAGGGCTGGGGGTGTCCAGCGTGGCCGTGGGGGCGGTCAGCTTCAGCCTGGCCCTCCGACAGCACAAGCCGCAGCTCGGAGACTCGTCCCCGGTATGGAGCGGGGTGTGTGTACGTTGAGCCATTTCACTCTCTTTACCTCCGTAAGGTGATGGTCAGTGTGCGTGCGTTAGTCGCCTGCTCCCCTGGGAAGGAAATCCTAAAGCTCCCGGGCTTGCATGTAGGTTCATGTTGGCGGGCTATGCCTCTTTACGTTGTCTTTTTATTTAGCCCAGCAATTGTTGTTGTTTTTTTTTCCGTTTTTTTTTTCTTCCTTACCTTGGGCTCAAGACCAAATTAAATGCCTTTGTTTAAAGTTGGGGAGGGGGGCCTTGTCACCAGCTGAGTCTGCAGAAGACTGCCCAGTAGTGCTGACGTGGTCACACCTGTCAGGGGCAGATTGTTTCGTTGACAAGGGAAATCAAAATGAAGGTGTTACATCATTGTTGTGTGCCAGGAACAAGCAAGGGTAGACTTTGTGCATTTATGTCTGAGTACACTAAAGGCAACACCAGTCTGACAAAAAGAGAAATGTGGTGTGAGTAAAAGGAGCATTTTATTCCCTCGCCGCCCCCCCTCAAAAAAAAAGCACTTCTCTGAATTTTCCCATGCTAGCTTTCTGTACTTCATCTCTAACAACTCTCTTGCAAGTTCCAGGCAATAAGTTGAACAACAAATGGTGTGGCATTTAACAGCATTCTAATTGGAGAATAACTTAGCTCAAAGAGTGCCTAGGGCTCAGAGAAAATGTCATCATCTTCTCTAGGTCAGATGGCTGACCCAAAGCGCTGCTTGTTGTTTATTTACTTTGGGTGAGTCTCCAGGAGAGCCTTGGAGACCCATCCCTCCACCAAGAATCAATAAAGTAACTTAGCACTATTCCTAGTATGGGCCTAATTTTGAAAATCAACTTTTCTCCTCCTTTAATGTATAAAGCTGCTCTATTCTTTGGGGTCTCTAGCTCCATCTTACTTTAGATAATTTATGGGGTGTTATTCTACCCCTGATAATCCATGGGCATAATTAACAATCATGGCTTAGTTACTTGTGCTTTAAGTTACTGAGAAAAAGATGATCATTTATGAGTTCAAATAAGTTTTTCCAAAGTAATTCATTTTTTTGAGGGAAATGCTAGCATTCTTAAAATTCTAGCATTCTTGAAGCATTCTGCTTTAGAAAATTTGTTTTAATATTGTAATTTTTCAAAGTGAAGTGAATGTTTTTAAATTGCAGGAGTTAAAAGAAGAATGGTGTTCAATCTAATGGTGAATTCCTCCAAGAATCCTTGTTCTAAATTCAATAATAACTTGCTACCAACCTCTGAATAATTACCTTTTTCTTTATTATACAAGTTTATCAATGCATATTTTAAGTTTAAGTATGAAAGTCTAAAGGCAAATCTTAAATCTGACATTATGTCTTATATGTAGTAGTGATTATTTTGAGAGTTGTAGTTACTATAATTAACAGAAATAGTTATACTCTAAAACTTCTATCAGGCAATTGTCAAAATGAAATGTAATGTCAACATTTAAAGCAAGAGGAAGAAAATGTGATCTTTTGATGGCTTAAGAGGGAGAAGCCTCAACTACTTTCAAATCACTTCCCCTCTGACATGTAAGAGGTTGAGTGAACAAACTTAAGTTGTCTCTAAATAGTATTGAAGTATCCTGTTTGTATTTAAGAATTAAAAAATAGTTACATTTACTTGAAATTATGTAAGAAAAATAACTAAATGATTTGTATCCCTCTTCCCAAACTATTTACTATTACCTAGATGAGTTGATGTATGTGTATATACAGAAAATGAAAATTTGAATCAGATTAGTGAAAAGCAAATAAAACAGTTATATATATAGTCATTATCATAAAGAATTATTTCCATGTTAACTGGTTCTTTAGAGTAGCCAAAATTCACCTATGATCCTAGAACAATAGTTTTGAATTCTATTCTCTGATTCAGTAAAAAATTTTAAAAACTACATGTGATTGAATGAATGGATTTGAAACTAGAATGCCCAAACAGTTGGTCACTTTTATGAACTCAAGTTAAAAAAGCAAATTTGTGAAGGAATCAATAGCAAGTTGTCATCGTTGTTTATCAAATTATAGGCTTGCTAAATTGAGTTTCTAAATTATTTTTCAGAGGTAATTTCTGATACAGTCTGAATTATCTCTTCATTCTGCCAATGATGAATTCATATAACCAACATTTATAGAGGGATTGCCATGTGCAAGGCATTTTACTATATAACACAAAGACTATTGAGATGAATCAGAATGTCTAGTAAAGGAAACATGATGGATAGATACATCACTAACTTTATCAGTCACACATTAGAGTTTGGCCTCAGAGAGATGCAGGGGCAGGTAAAGGGAAGAGAGGTGGGGACGGCCAATGAAACATCCATGGGAGAATGATTATTTTTCTCTTGATCTTACAACTTTACTGGGAATTAATGTATCACAGTGTTGAGTCATGTAGCACAGTGTGAAAGCTGGAGTCTACCTGGGTACAGATCCCGAATCTGCCATTTACTATCTGGTTGACTAGCCAAAGTTTCCTCAGACATTGTAAAATCGTGTTGTGAGAAGGCACAAATGAAATAAGGCTCTTAGTAAAAAGCACAGCATGTAGTAAGCACTGAATAGATGTGAGCAGCTAATACCGGGTGCACAGACTGGCAGAGAAGAGCATGAGGAAGGAGAACCTTTCAGGCAGCATGACTGAAGGCAAAAACCTGGAACGGGGTGGGTTATGTCCCAGGAAGAACAGGCTCCACTATTTTTCTGGGTCGTAGGTTTGTGAGGGAGCGATAGGGTTGGGAAGGGTGGTTGGGGCCAGATCACGGGAGGTTGTTCGCCAGTTCACGGCAATGAATTTATTTCTTAATATTTAAAAAAAATTAATAATAATAATAGCAATTCTTACTTTCTAAAAAGACTCCAGGGAGATGCAAAGGAAAACTAGACAGAAACTTATGAATCTCTCTGGTATTTTATGAATTAAAAGGCTGTATTATTTATGAACACAGGATGATATTTTATAATAACCTGTCAGGATAACCATAGTCTATAATCAGAGTGTGTTTTGATTGGTGCCATGAAGTTTTTTTCACACATTAATATCATTATTACAAGACTTCTGACTTAAGTTTTAGAAGTCAATGAAAATAAAAACTGTACTATGAAAAGATTGCGTCTTATATAGAGAACCCAACATCATAAGCTTTTTGTCTAGGTCAAATGCACTAAGAATCTGGACACCTATTTTGATTATATGCCCCTAAAATGTTAAATAAATAAATAAAAATATGGCTTAAAAATAAAATAGTACCAAGATAAAGGACTTACTAGTAAAATCAATGAAACTGATACTTATACAGACACTATTTTCTAATCAGGCAAAGGTTGCATCTGCGATCAGTTTAAAAGATGTGGGCATTTAGAAGGGCACAGACTATTTTCAGTCACTGTTTTATAATCAGGCAAAGGGTGCGTCTGCGATCAGTTTAAAAGATGTGGGCATTTAGAAGGGAAAAAAAATCATTTAGACTTAGAGAAAGAAAGCTATAAATGCCTTTGTAGTATGTTGCTTCTTCTTGATTCCTTTTTATAGCTGATATACAGTCACCTCATTAAAAGCATACAAGAAGACATAACTGTCAGATAACAATGAACCATTGAGTAAACTGCTTTGAAAAAAACGTTGTCATGTGAAATAGAATTGATGTGTAAGATATATTAGTGGGGCATTGAATAGATAAGGCTATGTTTCCACGTTGTTGTGTGATAGATACCTTTCTTAGTCTCCAGGGCATTATCTATGATGGGAGTGGACTATATTTACTAGGACACAGATTCATGGGTCCAAGAGAATTTTATTTTGTTGCTTTAGGTTGACAGTTGGAAATCTAGAGATTCAGAGGGCCATGCCCAGAACAACCTGTCAAGATTCTGAGTTGTAGTTGATACGTCCCCTGGTAAATTCCATTGTGTATATCTGATGATCATTCTAGAAACTAAGTCTATTAAAAGAACTTTCTAAACCCTGTTCACCCCACATATAAACATAGTCTTTTATAACATCCAAAATGTTTTATCTACATGATATAAAGTTTGAGTACTTTTTATTGCTTATTTTTCTGGAGCATACTTCTTTGTGTATCATAACTTTATCTGCTTAATAAATCTGATAATTTAGGTGAGTGAAATGTATAACATAATCAAGGCACATCCCTGTTGTGTGGATTCCCGATTCACCATGGCAACAACTCAACCAATTTTAAGATTGTGATAAAATTCATCTACTGTACATTCTGATCCATACCATAGCAATACAGATGATGTGCCATATATGAATTATAGATGCTTCAAAGTCTTATTTTTAATATTTAAATCTGCCCTATTCGTTTAAGGGGGAAAAAACAACAATCAAGTGAAAGAAATCCCTCAGTTACTTCAAATGTACAAAATTTGAAGCTAGTGTGTCTCTGACCAGATAATATATCGTCATTTGCCAGAGTCAAAATATATATAAAAGCACTATCCCATCCTAAGAAAAAATTACAATTGTATATTTATACCTTGTTTTAAATTAATTTTAACTATGCAAGTAATTAATTAATAAATTCTCATTTCAAAGGGTTAGAAAGAATTAAAACTGAAGTTCTTTCTCCTATCATATTATCTAAATTAGCCACACTTGTAAATTTAGTGTGTAATCTCATAGATATTTCTCCATGCATAAATAGTATTGTTTGAACATATGGACCAATTTGATCAATTTTCTGGATATAATAAAGCCTATTTATAAACTCTGTAGAGGTCAGGTAAAGAATCTCTTTCCCATCTGTTATACACTCTTCTTCTCAAGTGCTACTTGTTATCTACTGGGGTTAGATTAGGGAAATTAGATAATAGGCAATTAAATAAGTTAGCCAAGCCAAACTACTAGGAAATGTGGTTATTATTCAAGGAACCTCAGTCACCTTCAGTCCTCTACTTGTTGACAATTTGTTTGATACAAGCAATCTAAATAAAGCCAGTCTTTCATGTGGATGGTTTTGCGT